TTTTGAGACAGGGTCTCCCTGTAGCCCCAGCTGTCCTGGAACTCACTATGTAGACCAGGCTGGCCCTGAACTCACAGATCCAGCTAAGGCGTGCGCTACCACACCCGGCTTACAGTAGGGATTTTTAAGCGGAGGAAACGGTGGGGACCTGAGGGCTTTCCTCGGGCGATACTTAAGAGATTAAAACGGCATTTAGGCTCCTGTGGCCCAGAAGCGCAACTCTGGGAACCCACTGCAGCGTACAGCTGTGCCTCACTACCTCCACGGCCGAGCCAAGTCGTTCACCACGCCCACGGAAAGCGGGAGGTCTCGGAAGGCTTGCAGGACCTCGCGGGCCGGGTCTTGAGGAGGCTAGCGAACCCTACCCAGAAGCCCGTGCGCGCACGCCGAGCCTGCGTCACGCCCTCCGGACTACCCGGCCGGCGGGGACCAATCGGCATCTCGTTTTCCCTTGGGCCGCGCCCCGAGGGCGGGGCTCCAATGAGGACACCGCGTCCCATGATACCTTGCGCGCCCGCGCTGCTATTGGTCTGGCAACTGCGCTCCTTTTTCAAATCCCGGCGCCCGGACGTTGCTCAGTTCCCAGGAAGAGACTAGTCCGGTCTCTCCGGCTGGGCGGGACGGTCGCCCCCGTCAGAGGCCTGGGTGGAGAGCGGGGATACTGAGCTGCGAGCTTCGGTTTTTGCGGTCGTCGTGGAAGCACCGGTGAGAGGAGGCGGGCGTCCAGGACCCGCAGCTCCCGAGTCGCGGCCCGGCCGTCAGGTTTTGGCGGGACAGTCATGGCGTCTCAGCCGAATTCTTCCTCGAAGAAGAAGGATGAGAAGGGAAAGAACATCCAAGTGGTGGTGCGATGCAGGTAAGGAGAAGCTGGTGCGAGCCAGGGACCGACACTTCGCCGTTGAGCTCCCTCGGGAGGGCGATTTGTTTGAGTTTTTTGCGGGGTTCAAAACTGCCTGTTTCTAGAAAACCTAGAACAGGTGTTCTCTTTTATAAAAATGATACCAGGTTGCTGTGAGATCTAGATTAGGGTTTGTTCCTGGGGAGAAAAGAGTTCTTGGTGTTAGAGGGTAAAGTTGCTATTCACAAAGAGAGTTGGATCATTGTTTTTTTACTGAAAAGTGCGTTGTCGTTTTTAAACTAACGTCAAAGATTTAGGTGGCACTGTCATGTTACGCCATGTACGTTGTCAGTTTGGGAATAAGGATGCATGCCTACTTTGCAGGTGCTTTAACGCTTGCCTTGGGGCTATTCATTATCTCCACCTTCGAAAACATTATCGCCAGTTCTCTTTTTGTACATGCAATATCATATTCAGTTCTACTAACCAAGTCAATATCACTGAATTTAAACATCGAAAGCTAAGCTATAAAGTAGGTTTATGAAACTCAAGACAAGTTAATGTGGGTAAATGTTTGTTCATAGACCAAAAGAATTGTGAGGATGAGGATGTTGGACTCTTCCCCTGACTGGTGTCCAAATAACTTAACAAAATTTCTATTTTTTGAGGTCTGATATAACTGAGGCTAGTCTGGAACTCCTGGGTACAAGCTAGCCTACTTCCTGTCTCAGACTCTGCAGTGACTGGGATTCTCGGCCTGGCATCACCTGTCCCCCTAATCCCAGTTTAGAAATGAGTCTGTAGAGAAAGAACAATACTTGTTCAAACTGCTGTTTAATTAGTGATGAGTTTTTTTTCCCAACTTTTTAGGGGCTTCCCACAGTTTATTAGTGTATATTATGTTGTGTGTTTTTGTTGCTTTTAAAAGTTGCTCTTGCAACTTTTCTGTCAATTCAAAAGAATTCCCCAAATTAAAAGATTATTTAAAAAAAAAAACCC